TTTATTTCTATGATAATCTATTTTTTCCTAAATGCTATTATTCACCTCTTGTCCAGATCTGATCTATTTTAACCCACAACTGAGATGGGACTGATGAGTTTTCCTGATTATTTCTCACATTTCCTTGAAATCATTCTTTCAGATGATTCAGTTAAAGATTTAAGTCAGATATTGGCTGTACTCTAACTAAAGCTAAATAAGCCCATAATTTCCATTTGGAAATGATATCTTGCTTCCCCCCACCCCATTAAACTAGGCATCAATCATTCAAGCAAAGAATGACTCAAGAAATGAGAACTTCTAGCCCTCCTCATGCTGCTTTATAGAGGTGCTCTTTCAAAAGTTGGTATTTCCCTCAGAAACAGCTGGGGAGCTACTGCAAGCGCTAGTGCAACTTTTCTTGCTGCAATTGACTGCTAGTTACTCTGAGTATTATATCTAATGAAATTTCAGGTTTCATATTTGAGTGGGGGTTTATTAAACAGGTTTCTAATAACGTTTATTAGATGAATATTAAAAAAGGGTAACTGCCAAACCATCAAACTAGTTACATTGGTAAGAAAGGTTGGATGAAATATTGATACCAGAGGAAGATAAAAAAGGAAAAAAATATCTCATGTCCATGAGTCAAGAGCTACTAACCCAAGACATATATATAATTGTTCTTGCTCAGTTCGTCTTGCTCAGTTCGTAGCAATACCTTTCTTAATCCTTTTCCAGCAAAGCTAAGACTCGGAACAAATTTTACTTTCTTGAAGCCAACAAGTATTTACCTCAACATATCTAAAAACTAAAAATATTCTTAATACTTTTAAGGATTGTGGGCTGTTGTGGACTGTTTAAACATTCACTGAAAATGCAGCACAATACACTTTTTGAGATATTTATGTGAAATATTAAATGTTGCAGCATATGCAAACTTACAGCTCATTAAGTAAGTTTTATTTCAAATTAAAAAGAGATATGATTAGACTGAAAGATACCCAGCATCTTTTTCATTTAACATATAGCTAGGACAATAAGAAAGATAATATAAATAGACCATTTATACAGACCACTTTCTATATAAAGTACCGTATTTGCCGGCGTATAAGATGACTTTTTTGCCCTGAAAAACATGCCTCCAAGTGGGGGGGTCGTCTTATACGCCGGGAGGACTCCGACTCCCACTTCGAGCTTGAGTTGCAGCCGGGAGGGAGGCTGGGGGGGGAGCGGTGTGTGTGTGTGTGTGTGTGTGTGTGTGTGTGTGGCGGGTGTCACTCGCCACGCGCTGCGCAACCTTTCCCCCTCTTCCTTCCTTAGCGGTGTGGGGAGGAGAGGATTCGAAGATCCTCACGTGCGGCGTACTTTTCTTTTTCTTTTTTTCTTTTTGCACACAGGTTTTGCATGCGGGCGGCTGTAGGTTAAGGATGGGGGAGCCCCCGGGTGGGTTATCAGGTTTTACGGTGCTTCCAACATGTGCGAACGGTGGGAGAGCGGAGAAGAGAGCGAGCGAGCGCCCCGCTGTGTGAAATCCTGCCGTCAAAGCAACACTGGGGGAGGCAGGGTATAAATTTACCAGGTTAATGTAGCAATGGTGATTAATGCCCAGAACATTGTTTGCGGGTATTGGGGTGTGTGTGTGTGTGTGGTGGTGGTGAGGAGAGGTTGTCCTTTGAATGCGGAAAAGTAGGTGTGACCTTGTGTAGGAAAATAAAGAGATCCTTTTTAGCGTGTTTGGCTTCTTTGCCTCCCCTCGTTCGTTTTGACGTGGAGATAATGGCCTTCGGGCGGGAGGGGAAGAAAACGGTAGCTGGATCATTTCAAATTTCACTTACTCTCCTGCCTCACTTCAATATGTCTGAGCGACTCCAGATACTGGAAGACTTTTTGAATGAAAGTGTTACCTCCATTTTTTTTTTAAAGAGGGCCACTTGGGGAAAAAAAAAGATTCTAAGGAATTCCTTGTTTCTTGATTAAAGAGAAGGCATTGAATATACTGTTCCTTGGCAGCCTTTTCAGTGTCCGGGTTTTTGGTGTGTGTGTGTGTGTGTGTGTGTGTGTGTGTGTGTGTGTGAGAGAGAGAGAGAGAGAGAGAGAGAGAGAGAGAGAGAGAGAGAGAGAGAGAGAGAGAGAGAGATCAGCTGTATTGAGAAGAGAACGTTTCCTGTGTTCTCATTTTATTTACAACATATTTTACGCTTAATGGTAAGCAATCAAAAATATTTTTAAAACTCATTTCTAAACTCCATAGCTATTTGCATATTCTTGGTTCAAAATTGGATTAGCTCATTTCAAAATTGTCCAAAGCAGAAAAGTGCGTCAAAAAAAAAAAAGTGCAAAAGTGGAAGGTGTGTGGAAGAGGGGGTAGTCTTATACGGCGAGTATATAACAAACTCTATATTTTGAGTGGAAATGTTGGGGGGTCGTCTTATACGCCCAGTCGTCTTATACGCCGGCAAATACGGTACAATATACAATATTGTATCTGTTCCTTGCTCTCCATGATCATGTTTCAACAACAGCTGCAAGCAATGATTGTGGTGAATGAGAAAGGAAAAATATTAAAACATTAAAGATAGAAAAAAATATTTGTCTTGCTGTAAACCTAAAAGGTAAATGACTGCAGAGCAGTATTCACAAGCCATTGACTTGATTATAAATCCTAAAAAGAAGTAGTTTTTTCAAAAATAGGAAATCCCACAGCATTTTATTAATGAGTTAAATGCAAATTTGTTCTGTTAGCTCAGATTTTAGAAAAGCCTTTATGTATTGTAAATAAAGATGGAAAGTATGATACATAGTTTTTTGTAATTTTTGAATAAAGCTACAGCATGAGAGAATGAAACAGGAATATTATAAAAAGGCACCAGTATTCCTAAGACAAAGATTTTTTTTATAGTGCCAGGCCTGCCTAGTTTCTCCTTCAGGCAAGTTGGCAAGACTTTCAGAATCAAAGAATAGTTTTCCCATGGCTTATGCAGTAAGAATTCACCATGAGTCACCATTCTCAATTTGTTTCAGTTTATAACCTAAGAGGCAGAATGATCTAGACAGCAGTCTGTCTCAAACTTCCTCAGCCCAGTTCCTTCCCAGAACTCTGTGGTTGCACTCTAGCACATTGGGAGAGACCTTGGGTTTGAGAAAAGTTGGCCTGTCCAACTACTATTCAATTTACACAATATGGTCTTCAAGACCATCGCTGTTTATTCAATGGACTAACCAGATTTAGTAGTGCCTACATTTTCTGCATCCGTTGAAAGCCAAATGGACAATTAGTTCTAAAGACCCTACTTCTCTTGACCAAGAAAGCAAAAAAGCTAGCCAAGTTCCCGCCCTGTTTCAAAGAAGTCCCATAAGGCACTTTATTTCTTCAGTTTCTAATCCAAAACCAAAGTTGAAAGGATGTATTTGTCTCAATCTTCTGTGCAAACAAGAACATAATTATCTAATCGGAAATAGCCTAGCAGTTTGAAATTCACTGCGGCAGTCAGCAGTGAACCTATCTGAGCAAGTTTCAACAATGACTTGGCTGGTTAATCTGGGCCAGTTAAAAGCCAAAATAAAAAGTACTGGGAAAAATGCCTAAAATTACAAAGAAAACAAAAATAGTGCCAATTGGATTTGATCTTCTTGATTGGGCATAACAAAGACAATTGCACAGGGGGAGCTATGGTCAGCAAGAAGATTAGGTTGCGTTAGAAACAGGTTATCATAGCAAACAGGTTATTGTAGCAAACAAGATCAGCAATAACATAACTAAGCCTTGCCCAATGGGGTGCCCCCTAAAGAGGTTGGTCTACAGTTCCAAACATGATACAGCTTTTTGGTTGGAAAGATCTTATTAGCCCTTTTTAGGCTGTATTGTTAATACTTGAACTATTATTCTTTTCTTGAACCTGAAACCTAGGTCTTTAAAGACATGTGCACAAACAATCTTCCATCCAACCAATACATATACCATATACATTTTGTTCAGGCAACATCCATTTCTGGAAATCTTGAAAAATGACTCCCTCAATAAAATTGTTCAATTCCATTAATTCTAATCAAGTTAATGCCTATGAATGGAGGGAACAGATGTTTTGTCTGGAAAGCACTGGTTTTTGTGATAGAATAGTTTGCTTCAAAGTCTATCTGACATTTTAATTAGTACTAGAAATCATAGTTCAATCATATAAGAAACAAAAGACTACAATACAGGGCTAAACTTTCAAAAAACATCTAGTCCTTCAAGAGCAACCAGCAACACTTCAAACCATCATAAATTTCAATATATTTCTCTAGTCAAATGGATGGTGGTTTACATGCCAGCACAGTATCTCACTGTTGGCAGCAGCACAAGGCTACTAGTTAAACAATGACTGCTCTGCTACCTTTTAAAGACTAGGAATTGGTTTTCTATTTGACCTAATATATTACAGTACGCATAAGTAATGGAATAACAGTTTCAGAACAAAGGATATCTTTGAAATACCCCACATCACAAAAAAATTAATCTTGGAATATGTGAAGAATTATAAGTAATTTTATTACATATTCCACGAGAAAGTAAAATTTGATTACTAAGAACCACAAGATCAAAGTTTGAATGTACCAGATGTGCCAATTAACAGTTTTATATATAGACTATGTTCTCTATCTATCATCCCAATTAAGTACATCTGATTTAGACTGGAGAGAAGATAGATGATTTATCAGATACCACAATACTTGTGATACGTCAAAGGACACAAAAGTTTTTGACGTGCAGAACAGCCAGTTGGAAATTTACACACAGAAAACATATCAGCTGAGTGCTGTGTTATGTAATATAAAGCAGAACTGAAGTTAACCATATGAAGTTCAAAGAGAAACATATATAAAATTAGGAAATGGGGTTTTTTGCTTGCAAAAGAAAGAGAAACGTAATCTTCAAAACGAAGCAATGAACATCTATTTCAAACTCCATACCAATTGTTCCTTTGTAATATTTATTCATATCATATCAGAGTTGGGTGGCAAGAGGCAGCAATACTCACCCATCATTCCACATGAGAAGAGTGTGGATCCTTGACTCATCTTCTTTGGAGTGTGCTGAAAACAAACATAAGACCTAATCACACATTTTTACGAATTATGCTGAAATCCAGGCCATGCATTGTAACATCTTCACTGTCCTAATAGCAGACTTGTTGTAAATTCCAGTATACAAGAAAAGCTGAAGTGACAATGACAATCCTGAAACACCTTGTTTTACAATTTTGTAGTTTTTACTCATGGTAGTGGTTCTCCCTTGAACAATATTCAAAACTGCACAAAAGGCTAATCTAAGAAAAATATTAAGTTATAAATCTGTCAACATAGTAATAGAAGATATAAGATTTGTTCCACTTCATTTTTCTTTAGAATTATTATTGCTTATTTAAAGAAATAATATTTTAAATTGTTTTTTTAAAGTATACTATTTCCAGAACATTTCTAAATTGATTTCATAGAGCTGATCTTGTTCTTAGTTGACAAAGTTGAAGCAATAAAAATCAAAATTACTCCATAGAGAATGAAAAATAATCTAAATTGTTTTGTTGTAAATCTTTTAAACTATTCATTTACTATGCCAATATTGTCACCATTGGGCTCTTTATCTAAAAAATGAAAAACTGAGACAGTGTAGGAATCAATAAGAGAAATTTATCCAGTGACTGCAATAATGGTTCTAAAGTTTAACTAGCTGGCACAGTTTTTAATAAATCTTGTGCTGTCCCTTCATATTTTGTTCCTCTTTCCCCCTTCTAAATCATTTAATTTGCCAAAAAAGAGGCAGTTTATTACAGAAGAAAAGACATTTAAATTTATATTATCAACGTTGTATTTGGATACAACATTAATGTTGTTAATAAATTTAATCTTTCATTTATTTATTTTTAGGTTTTTTTTACCCTGACTCATGTAACACAATGTATCTATTGAGAAATAAGTTTTATTGAACTAAATAGATCATGTGCTAAGTAAATTCAAGGTTCATACTGTATGCACTAAAAGTTAAGCTGTCGAGCAAATAAGTTCCACTAAATTAAAAATGTAACATTTCCAGGAATGTTGAAGCACTAGAAAAATACCTTCTTTTTCAAGAGAGAGAGAGAGAGACAGAGAAGTTAGTAGGGGGGAATGAAATATATACAATGTTTATTTCAGCATCCTTTATAGATATAAAGTCACTTTAATTTCATAAAATGCGTAACATATAACTTGGGATCCTGATAAACATATGTTTGTTGTACAAAACGCTAAAGGGGGAGAAGGGGGAAGCAAGGCTCAAAATATATTTATTGCCACATGAGATGTTATTTAATCAATCTCTGTAGCAGTCCCATCCTATATTTACTGACACTCAGCCACATCTGAGTTGCAATTAATGAGGCATGGCTTCGATTACATATGCTAGGACATTATCTAAAACATCTTTCCTTTCTGCTTGATACAAAAGCTGAAATCCTGTCATGCCCCTGTCGGAATCTGATTTAGAGAGGAAGGCCGAGCAGCTGACAGGGAGTGTGAGTGTAACTCCGTTGGCTGTGGAAGAAACTGGGGTCCAGCTGGGCATTGCAGGAGAGAGGTAGAACAAGGGAGAAGGAATTTGGAGCCCATACCCTCTTCATCCTAGAGCACTCAGGGAGGAATGGAGAAGGGAGCAACGTGAGTTGCATGGCTTACAGGGGAGGAAAGGGCCCTGATTCCCTTTATTAGCTGCAGTTGGGAACACAGTATTTAAACAGGGAAGCTGCGCACAGCAAGTTGTTGGGAGCAAATCATGAATTATCTGGTATCATGGAGGCTTATCAGTGTTCCTGGCGTCTTCCCAACTGTGTATGTTTTGCTGTGCTTTCAAGTCTGCAATTCTTTCTCCTGCCCTGTCAAGTTAATTACTGCAGCGTGGTTTGTTTGGATTTTTAGTTACAATTTATATGTACTTTGTCTTCAGCTGAATTTCCCCCACTTAAAGGCTGTTCCTGGGAGAGTTTTTCTCCAGCCGAAGGCAACCTGGACATTGGGGGCAAAGTTGGAGATAATAAAGGGACTCTTCTTGCATATTTGACTGTGTTGCCTTTGTGCCATGCCCCGGGTCATCACAAATCCTTTTTAGAATAAACTGCGAAGGATGGCTAGATAAAGCAAAAGATTAAAGTTTGGAATCTATGAGAAGATAGATAAAATCCAGGGAAATAAGCAGGACACTTTTGCATCAGGGATGCATTTTTCGCTAAGAATATGTTTAGCCATAGAACATAGAATTTTAATTTTAAGTTATTTCTGTCTCTTGCTATTTGAGCATTACACAAGCTGTGGTAGTGCAGTGGTTAGAATGCAGTACTGCAGGCTACTTCTGCTGACTGCCAGTTGCCAGCACTTTGGTAGTTCGATTCTCACTGGCTCAAGGTTGACTCAACCTTCCATCCTTCTGAGGTCAGTAAAATGAGGACCCAGATTGTTGCGGGCAATATGCTGACTCTGTAAACCACTTACACAGGGCTGTAAAGCTCTGTGAAGTGGTATATAAGTCTAAATGACTTGCTAAGTGCTATTGTGTTTGGTGTTTATTTTCTCTATATAGGCTCAGTAATGTGTTATGCAACTTGGAAGCTCTACAGAAGAGTTGCTTCCCAAATACAAACATACCAACATCATATAAAATTTCCCTCTTTCCCATCCCCTGGGAGATCTTCTTAAAGCACAGCTGTGATTTGAACAGTTCTATCTTTTTACCTTCTTTATCACTGAATATTTTACATGTGACAAGCATCTAAGATGAAAATATTTTTATGTTCTTTTTAAAAATGAAATTTGATTTTATTCATCTCTTTTGAGATTGGTCTTTCTAACAAAGATAAGTGCAAACAGATCATTATCTTAGCCAAATACCTCAGGCCCACGGGGCCAGGATAATGCTACAGCATTTATTTGATTTATTTCTCTTTCTCCTTTTCATTTTAAATTTGCCAGAAAAGTAACTCAGATAGTAGGAGCCCTATCTCTCTCACAAAATAGGTTAAGGGAAGGATACCAGATGAGGCATACACATACCAGAAGACACACCAACTCAGGAGGTGTAGCTGGGTTGTCTGGATCTAAAGGGCTTCTGGAAAAGGAAACTGAAACTGCCTCCCTTTTACATCTTACAGGTTCGACTCTTATTTCATAAATCTTGCATACTAACAATTTTTCAAATCCTATCTTTATTATTTAATATAGTTGTAACATTTTGACAAAAATATTTTCCAATATTGAAATAAGTTTCTCAATTCATTTGTCTTTAGTTTCTTTTCTGATCTGGTATAAGTATTTCAAAATTTGTTTCATAACTTAATAACCATGTTATTAAGCATTATTTAAAATTAACACAGTAGGGTATTTTCCATAATCATTTTTCACTACATTGAAAAACTGCTATCCTTTAAATTTTATAGTATATTATAAAGAAAAACAACAAAACAACAACAAAAAGTCTGGGTTTTTCCTTTTTTTTTTTTTTTTTTCATTTTTTCTGGCCCTTACTTTGAAAATCTACATTTATCACTTATTCATAAGGCAAAGCTTAGTTCCAAGAACAAGATGAAAATGAGGAAGTGAGACATTTTAAGATAGACATTTATGTCTGTCTTAACTGCAATTTCATTTCATAATGATTAAACTGTTTACCAAAATCAGGAAGTAAAGGAATATGTTATTCATCATTTACAATACTTCTCTTACAATAAGGAAAAAAATATTTTCTCAATTTCCACTCAGATAAATTGATCCATATACTTTGTGAACAGTAAAATGTTTTTCTGTTGATCTACACCTGTTTTGCAAAAGTTTCCTTGGTTGCCAGGATATATTAAATTTACTACTATGTTAAAACATGCAAAACACTTACTATTCATCAAAATATGGTGTCTCTAAAAAAAAGAAGCCAAATGAAAAATTGGCATTAAATCCCTATTTTGATGCTGAGAATAAGGGGGGGGGGTATGTGTATACACAACTACATACAAGAGATTAATTATTATGTGAGAACACAAACAATGAAGGAGACAGAATATACACAGAGTTATTGTGGAATTGAAATTATTTGGTGAAAGGTGAAGTGGATGTCCTCTAGAGATCTAATGATGTTGATTTTGATATTTTGAAAACCAGTCCATATTAATAAATAGTAGAAGTGATTTAAATTTAAAATTGGGATGTATTTTATTATTTTTAAAATAGGCTGATTTTTTTACCACATCAGTTTTAGGGAGTCCCCATTTAATAATGATAATTGGACCAAAATTTTCATGATTAACCAATGTAGTCATGAAGTTAGCTACAGATTACAATCCCAGAAGTCCTCCTTGCCATCATTAAGCAATGTTTGTGGGTTGTTAAGTCAGGCATTCCATGCAACTTCCTGCCAACTGCCCACAACCAAAGTCATGCAGAAGTAATCAGGAAACTGCTGTTGACTTGCAAGCAGGCCAGCAAGAAGATAAATGGCTACTCTTGGGTAGGGTGCAAAAAGGGTGTGCAAAGGGACAGTGCAGTGTGGCAGAGGGTGTGTGAAAATGTGGGGGGAGCCAATGCAACATGAACACAGTGTTTTGGAGGCTTAGAGTGGCTGTTGAGACTTACCCAAGCAACCTGTGACCTTTCCTATCAGCTTGTCCTCTGACTTGGCTTGGTTGGCACAGAAGGTCACAAATGATGAACATGTGACCTTGGGACACTGTAGCCATCTTGTAAGCTGGTTGCCAAGTGCCCAGAAAATGATCACGTGACTGCAGGGGTGCTATGACAGCTGGAAGCTCAAGGACCAGCTGTAACTATGCATTTGTTATTGGGGTCTACCTGTAACTGTTCTGAAAACCCATCACAGCAGCCTTGGTTTTCTGCAAATCTCTCCTTGCTGCTTTGCACGTGAAGAAATAAATTACAAGGGTCTCTTCATAATTTTTACCATAAATGTCAGTTTCCTGCTTCAGCATAATTAAAAGGAAACATATTACAGTTTGCACATATCTTGTTAACCACTGTATCAAAATTGCAACGTGATCCTAATTAATGTCTTATTTGATAACTAATTATAATTTGAACAAACTATGATTTCTGGCATCTTCCATGTGTAACAGAAACTTTAATTTATTACAACATGAAACATTTGCAGATGAAAGGAAAGACGGGGATGTGGAATGGGTGACATTTAAGGCAACATTTGTACATGTTTATCTTTTCTCTATTTTTTTTCTTCAATGCCATAACTCACAAATTGCTTTTAGATTTCAATGGTGAAGTTGCAGACTATTCCTTGGGAAGCCTCAGTCACCATAGCTTGCCCCTGAAAGCACCAGCAAGCATTCCAAGGCATTCCAGGACAGTTTTATGAACACAGTGCTGTGTTCAGAAAGAAGGAAAAAAAGGAGGAAAGTAGGAAAGGTTTGCTGGAAAAGTTGGCTCTGAAAAGAAGGCAACAATGGATGAAAGGTTGGTGAAAGGAAGCTGGGCAAACAAAAAAAGGCTGGACTGGGCTGGGCAGCAAATGTATGCTTGTTGGCATTTGCTGGCCAGGGAGCCATGTGGGGCTGGAAGAGAAGGAAGGTGTGTGAATGAATGTTTGCTGGGGTGGGCTTCCCAGGATATAGCAAGCAGCTCTAAAGCCACATAATTCTGGGGCTGCTTGCTGCTCCACAAGGTAGAGTATAGGATGGCCAAATGGGCATAGATGGGGAGGAAATTGGAAAGGAGGAGGAGATGGAGGTAGTCCAGACCTTATTGAGACTCAGTGTTCAGGGACCAAACCCACAATGGCTTGGAGGTAGTCACTTAACAATCCATGATTCTTGGTTAATTGCCCAATGGGAAATGCCGGGATTGCTAGTGTAAATCGGTGCCATTATATAATGTCTCATTTTATGACCACATCAATTTATGGCAGCAATCCCAGTCCCAGTTATGGCTGTAAGTTGAGGACTACCTATACGGGCAAGGCAATATCGTTTTCTAAATGTGATATTGGGCATACAATAAAACTCTTCTTGTTCGCTTATTATTATGTTCACATTGGCTTAGAGCCACACAATCAATATAGTTCCACATGCTGCAGTCTAAAATGGGAGCAGAACCCTGTAATCTGAAAGACACAAATGCTAGTGTATAAGCTAAGCCATCAGGGTGACATGAACTCTTACCAGTTCAGTCCTGCATGATAGAGAATCAGCACCTTTGTTTTCCAGAGTTGTAGTAGTTAAGATCATCACCATGGTAACAAAGTCATGAACTCAGGTCCATTCCAGTAGAGGTAAAGGTCACAATTGGCCATATTAGGCAGAATCTCCCATTCAGTGCATTTTTCCAGATGAAAGGATCAATAGCACCAATTCCCATCTGTTTTGTCGACTGGACAGCTTGACAAAAAGTAGTCCAAAATATTCACTTTCTAGAAGGAGAGAGAGAGGGAGGGGGAAAGATAAAATACAAATACTCTGTAGTTATTCTTCAATTCCACAAATCATTGCACAAACTTTATATCTTTTGTGGGAAGTTTGCCCTTGCTCTTGCAATAAATCTGACAAGACCTTGCATTTCTCATGTGTACCAGAGAAGAACACAGTGACCATACGATTAAATTATACCTGCAGGAAGAACAGACAAGCCCTTTCCTTCCTACTTGAACTCTGCAGTTGCAAGAGACATACTGTTAATTAAGGAGGACAGTAAGTAAATGGGGAGCAGTACAGTCCTGGAAACAATCAGCTAAGCAATCAGTGAAGTAACAAGAAAAGAAAGCTGAGTATGTTGGCAGCACAGAAGGAAAAGTCACAGGCAGAAGCTAAATAATTCCAAGTTACCTCTAAATCCTAACTTTTAAATGAGCAGTAAACAAGTAAATTTTGAATTTCTATCTATCTTTCTATATCTATCATCTATCTATCTATC